TCATGAGAAACTATTTGTTCTGTAAGCCTTCACCTGAAGTACAATAAAAAATATATATATATAAAAAAAGCTAACTTATTCTTTTGGTTCAAAGGGAAAAAAGTTATTTTCTCTTAAAATCTAATGTTTGAATAGCCAATGGAATTAGACAAATTCTAGAAACTAAACTGGGCAGAGTTAGCTATAAAATCTACGTTACGTTAGGAAATTATAGAGCTATGCCTTCTATATTGTTTGGCATTTAGAAGGTACTCCAAAAATATTTGTTGGATGAATGAAAAGTAATTATTTTGGAAAATTAGAAATCACAGAATGTTAGAAGTCATCCGTCTTTCACAACAGACCTCCCCCGCCTCCTCCCCACACCTAATTTTACAAGTAAGGAAACTATAGTCTTTGATACTTACAGACATGCTGGTTAAGATTTATCTCTACTCATCTGCTGGAAGCAATCAATTATTTTGGTTTGTGTTTGATTAAACAGTATAAATGAGGAACAACTGTACTTGACTAAAGAGTAGCAATGAGGAATAACCTGTCTACATTGTTTCTCTTTGAAAAGACACTATACTTTTCTTTAGAATCAATGCAATAATTCCTGCTACTCATACTGGATTTTAAAAGGAGATGTTATCTAGGCAGAAAGGGGCTGCTCTGAGAGAAGTCAGATGTGAAATTCTGCATTTAAGACTGCAATCTTCTTTTCAGGGACTGGAAGCGTTTAAACGACTATTCAGGTTATAAAAATTTCTTTCCTGAGAGCGGTATTATTCTAAAGTCTTTCCCCTAGTTCCAATTGCATTTTATATCACTGTTTAAGCTATTATAGGATTACTGTAAAAAGTTTCAACGTAATTTTCAGTAATTACTTTAAAATTTGAAAGAAACAGTAAATCAACTCAACAGCATGTTACATTCTAAATACCTTTAGGAATGAAAATTTTTTTTTAACAACAATATCTGCCTATCGTTCTCTTTACCCTTCTTCTAGCCACTTCTCCCTATTCCTACTGTGTCAATATTTGTGTAGAACATGTACTTTTGTGTTTCCCTGCCTGTATAAATACCCTTGAAAATGCAACAAAAAAGTAATTAAAAAGTAAAGAGAACCCCAAATATTCCTTATTACTGCCAAGTTTCCTTTAAGCCTTGGGTATACAATAGACTACATGGTTGTATTAATGATTATAACTCAGCCTTTAATGAATTATACAAATGTGCTCTATGTTTTATATGATTATATTTAGATATCTGAGTCCTTCTGAATGTTATTTTATAGCCAACAATAAAAAAAATTATTAAAAATGTTGAAAGTATAAAACAGTAACTATAAATTAGCAAACACCCAATAAAAAAAGCAGTTATTTCTTTTTCCTTATAGAGTATAAACAATAGTAATTTGGATATTATTATCCACTTTCAGTTAC